AGCAGGCTCCACACTGTCAGCACAGAGCCCGACACGGGGCTCGACCCACCAACTGTGAGATCGTGACCTGAGCCAAAACCGAGAGTCGGACACTCAACTGACTGAGCCACCTGGGGGCCCCTTAAATGGATATTTGAAAGAACTTTTTCCACATCCCTTGGGGCACTGGTTAGCATATCTGCTCTGGCGTGCGATACTGCTTGTTTGAGGGACTCGTGTCTGGCAGGGTTTCCCTAACCTGCCATTCAGCAGCGGGTTTCCTCGTGTACTCTCCGGGTCTTGCTCGTATTTTCCAGCAGGGAAGCTAGGCTCTCGTTACAGCTGTTCCTTGTCATCAGCCAGGGGGTGGGTAGTATTTTGATCTTAACGATGCCTGTTTGTTTACTCTGAGCTAGTCTTAGTGTGAGAGTCACTTCTCTATGTACATAGAAACCATTGTCCTTTATTGACAGAAGCCCTAGAGATGGGTCCCCATGTGACTCTAGGGTTCCTGAGACCTGGCAGGCCACTCTGCCTGACCCTCCTCTCTGTCGATAGCTCCGAGATGAGAGTGGGGTTGGAGGGGGTGAGGAAGGAGCCGAGGTGAAAGGTGGGGTAGTTACTTAGTCCTCTGTGTCTCCTTGACCCGCTCCTAGAAACTGCTTCTTCCTGATTTGGGCTGCCCAGCTGTATCCGGCATCTGATCTCTCTTTATTATTTGTCTCTTTTAGTAGCCCTAAGTCAAAGCAGGAGGTGATGGTCCGTCCCCCTACAGTGATGTCCCCATCTGGAAACCCCCAGCTGGATTCCAAATTCTCCAATCAGGGTAAACAGGGGGGCTCAGCCAGCCAATCCCAGCCATCCCCCTGTGACTCCAAGAGTGGGGGCCATACCCCTAAAGCACCCCCTGGCCCAGGTGGGAGCATGGGGCTGAAGAATGGGGCTGGAAATGGTGCCAAGGGCAAGGGGAAAAGGGAGCGAAGTATTTCCGCCGACTCCTTTGATCAGAGAGATCCTGGGACTCCAAACGATGACTCTGACATTAAAGGTATGTCTATAAGATCTTTGAGACTCAGAGGGAAGTAGGTATTCCCGAGGGAAGGGCTCCGCCATTGCTGGATGCCGGAGAGCCTAATAGCAGCCGAGTGGGGAGAGTAGGTATCAGACTCAGGCGTTGTCACGGCTTATTAAGAGGGAACCATTTCTTCTCATTTTCCTGCTCACTGTGAAGAGCAGTGTGGAACCACTTTGTTGAGGAGCTCTTGCTCTTGATGATGCAGGTGTTCTGGGGGTTACAGTAGGACGTTCCGTGGTCCTAACCACGTTCTTATGGATGTGTCTGGCCTCCGTGCTATTTATACTCCAGAATCAAACCAGCAGCTCCAGCCTGTCGACCCCAGTGGCCCGCACTCGAGCAGTTTTCCTGGCGTCCCTTCCTTTTCTCTGTCAGATTCACCCTCTAAGACGTGGGTTTTGTGCTCTCTGGCTCCCACCTTGCCAGCGTTGTAGGCACGAGGGTTAGCGCTGGCACTAGTGTGGGTTTGTCCCGGCTGATTTCAGTGTGGCAGGATGAGTGGCTACGTTGGGGGAGACATAGGGGAGGCCCCACAGTGGAGCCAGCCAGGAGGAATGTGGGACCAATGGCTGTGGTTTTAGTTGTTTTTCCTCCTAGTGTAAAACCAAAAATCCTAACTGTAGGCCAGAGCATGAAGTTAGCATTCCAGGAGAGGAAGTGGGAGCCCCCAACCCCAATTAGAGATGAAAACCTGGTGACTGTCCCCCGTCTTTCGTTCCTCCCTCGGGTGTTTGTGGGGAGGCCTGTCATGAGTGCCAGCGCTGTGCTGGGTGCTGGGGGGCCACGGTCAGCAAGACGGATGCAGCTGCTGTCCCCGAGGATGTGAGCACACCTAGACGGCACATCGTTAAATGATTACAATCAAATTGGACAAATGCTGAAATCAGAGAATGTGGGGGCTATGGGTTCAACCCACAGGGGCATCCAGTCCAAGAGGTTCCAAAAAGGTTTCCAGGAAGGAGGGATGTTTGCGCTGATATCTGAAGGATGCGCCCTAGAGAAGTAAGGAGGTGGGGGAGGAGTGCTTTGTAATTCATCATTTCGGGGCAAGTGTGTTGGAGTTTTTAAAATTAGAGGTCTCCTGTTAGCAAGGTGCCTCCTCCTTGAAGTTCTCAAGGCGGGCTTGTGCTATATAAATGCTGGCAGAAGAAGTTTTATTCTCTCCGTGACGCGGATCTTTTCATTCTTCTAGAATGTAATTCTGCTGACCACATAAAGTCCCAGGATTCCCAGCACACGCCACACTCGATGACCCCGTCAAATGCTACGGCCCCCAGGTCTTCCACCCCCTCCCATGGCCAGACTACTGCCCCAGAGCCCACACCTGCTCAGAAGACTCCCGCCAAAGTGGTGTATGTGTTTTCTACTGAGATGGCCAATAAGTAAGTTAATGGCTGTGTCTTGCTGTTGGCATGGCTTGTGTGTTTGGACACCTCAGTCCTTATTGCCACTGAAGACTACTTCCCCCCTCCCCTGACCTGTGTTATGATCACTTAAAGTTAACAGGACAGAAAGGGGTAAAGTAAAATAAGATATTAAACCTCCCAGAGGCAACCACTAATGATACTTGGGCTTTCCTTCCAGAAGTTTTTTATGCTTGTGATATACATCTAGATCTTTTTTAAACATAAAAGAGATTAATTACACAATATACACTTTTCTGTGATTTAGCATCCTTTTTTAAATAACACAAGTAATACAGGTCTATCTTGGAATAATTAGAAAATATGAATAACTAAAAAGAAAAATCTGCCTGGAGTTCATAGAGATAACTACGGTGAACGTTTTGGTACCTATGTCTCTGGTGGATGGACCAGCAGATTTTTACTTATTTAATTTATAAAAAATGTGACTATACCTTACATACATACAAAGTGAATTTTGACAGCCTTAGAGTGTCATTAGGTATTGTGAGATTTCATATTCGTGGTTGGGATTTTGAACTAGGATTCCATAAAAACACACACACCACAGGACATTGGTTTGAAGGAGAAAATCTCAGGTTTTTTACATGCCTCTTTTGAGATTTGCTAATGGCTGTCATTAGATTTCAGAAGTCTGGTGGTAAGTGATAGACACAGATAATGAAAACCCTGTGTTTTTCGATTCTTATTCAACATTTCTGGTGGCTGTCTACACGGAACCGCCTTCCTTCCCCTTGTACAAGTTCAGTCTGGGGTTAAAACGTTTTGGAATTACAGGTAGTGAAATAGAAGCACGTCCTAGCGTATGCGTCTCTTTCGTCTCTGCAGAGCTGCGGAAGCTGTGTTGAAGGGCCAGGTTGAAACTATCGTCACTTTCCACATCCAGAACATCTCTAACAGCAAGACAGAGCGAAGCACAGCCCCTCTGGTAGGCCATTCTGGAAGTGGAGTGTGGTTTAAAGGCTCTACAGCAGCTGTACAGGTGGGAGACGGTGAATGTCATTGGCAGGGAGGGTAGTCTTGATGGTGTAAGCTGCATTCTGGACACCTAGTCCTGGCTCTGTGTGGCTTCAAGCGGATCACACTGTACTGGCCTTTTATTTTTTCTTTTTAATTTTTTTTAACATTCATTTTTGAGACAGAGAGAGACAGAGCATGAATGGGGGAAGGTCAGAGAGAGAGGGAGACCCAGAATCTGAAACAGGCTCCAGGCTCTGAGCTGTCAGCACAGAGCCCGACGCGGGGCTAGAACTCACAGACCGCGAGACCATGACCTGAGCCGAAGTCGGACGTCCGACCGACTGAGCCACCCAGGCGCCCCTGTACCGGCCTTTTCTATCAGCATGCTGGTATACTGATGGATTACTGGGAGAGAAAGACACAATAAAAAAGGAGTTATGTGGAGACCTTAGATTTCCTTCATGTTAACTAACCATCTCTGGGAAAAGCTGACTTCAGACCCTGTGTACGGGGCAGGTTTCTAAAAACTGACAAACGTTCTTGAGTTAGTTGCAGAACAGAAAAGGAATAACTAAAGCCACAGTCCTGGAGCACATGCTGATAATACCATAATTACAGTCTCAGTGACTTTCAGAATGATCCTCATGTATTTCAGAGTGAGAGGACCATTGAGTGCTTTTAATCGCTTGATATTTCCAAAATTATAATAAACGTTAGTCTGTTTCCTGTCTGGAACTTAAGTGCCTGCTGCAAACCACATTAGAAAAAGCATGCTATGGTTGCTTCAAGACAGCGTTCCAGATGGAACCAAAAGTTATTTCTTGGGACAGGTGTTGGCGAGTGCCGTGGGGACACTAAGAGGTTCCAGACACAGTCCCTGCTTTCAGGAAGCCTAAGATCTAGCGCTGGGTTGGGTCTTTGACATGGGAACAGTTAAGTGACATTAAATGACTGGAGTGGCAATTCAAGATAAAGTTTTCATCTGTGTCGTTTATCAACGAAGCCCCTCTCTGTTGACATAGCAGAGCTTGGGCTTTGCTAGACTTAGAAAAGGCATTTCGCGCTGCTCATACATCTCTTCTAGTCAAGAAGGATAGAGGTGGACATACATAATATTTAAATTTATATATATATATGTTTTTTAATTGATACTTAAACCTTTTATACACGTATATAATGTTTAAGATTTATATTATCTGGAATGCACAGGGTACGTTGTAGTGCAGACTAACATTTGATCGATTGGATGACAGATTGTACCAGTTTTCACCTCCACCTTCTCTGGTACTGAAATGAGTCGGAGAAGGAGCTGGAATTGGGAATAATCAGATTGCCGTTGCTCCAAATCTGAAATCGAAAGTGGCACTGAAGTGCTTCCTCTGTTCTGGTCACATGACAGAGTCCATGCCCACCCCCCCAACAAACAAACAAAACCTGGCCACCAAAGGCAAACTTAAAATGGCACTGGAAGGAGGATGAAGGTGACCTCCACGCTCCAGTGAGGGAGGCGGGGACATGGAAAACACTCGGAGCACACGGAGCCCTCTCAGGTTTAGCCAGCCTTCCCCGAACCGGCCTCTGTCTGCAGACATATGTGTGTGGCTACCTGCAAGCGAAACATTTACATACATATTCACAGAACGGGAACACCCGAGGATAGTCTTTGTGTTTATGCAACACAAACTGTTCCATGCAGAGATACACATGATGAGTCGTGTACAAATGTGCACACAGGGAACCATTCCAGAGAGTCAGTGGGGAGGCAGGGGTTTGGAAACGCAGACTGGATTGAGTGAACAAGTAGGAGCGAACGAACATCAAAAAACGGATCATGTGGCTCCCTGGAGCCTGGCGAAAGATCCCTGAGCTGGGGTTTGTAGGCAGGGCCCTTTGGTTCTCCTCCAGTACCTCCCGCAGCACCAGGGTGTAGACCCAGGACACACACGTCCCTCTTCCAGGCACTAACAGCATCCTTGTCACCTCTTGCAGGACTTAGTGTAGCGCTGGTACTTAATAAATAATAACGAGGCTATCATCCAGCCTATAGAAAGGGCGGTCTGCTGACTATTGGAAAGAACAGACCGAGAGACACCATGAGCTAGATAGCCTCAGATTTCTCCACGGACGCTTCCTGCCTGCGGATTATCTTACTACAGTTAATGTACAAATTCTTATCGAATATGGAATCAGTGATCACAAACTGAAAACAGAAAACCAGAGATGTCAGGCCCCCTGGAAACTCAAGGAGAGGAGTACTTAGGTAGTCCCCCTGCCAGAGGAGACGCTGACACTGAGCGGCCTTCCCTGCTTCCTCCAGCTGGGAGAGTACAGAGCTGTCAGTGACAGGGACTTTCTCTTTCGGTTGAAAACATCAGCCCTCTTGATTGACAGTGAGAAGTCTGCATACCCAGTCGTACTTTCGGGGAAAAGAAAAGGTGTTAGGTACAGCCTCCCACATACCAAGAAACTAATCTCTCTTTGAATCACCAACACACGGTACATGCGATATCAAACCTGTTCCTCGAAATAGATACTCAAATGTATTCACTTTGGCAGAGTGGCTCTCCCCCTGGCATGCTTATAAAGTTATTGAAACCTGATCTTCAGCACGGGAAAGAGGATGCCGTTTGACAGTAAAGGGAAAGAAAAAAATCAGAACGTCCCCATGTCCAGAGTGGGGCTGTACAGCAAATGTCAGAGTAGATTTATGTGACGGGGACAAATCCTTTATAACGTGCCTTGCCTTTTTCATCGCCTCTTTGTACAACTTACCAATGATTTTTTAAAATCTCGTTTGTTTTCAGAACACACAGATATCTGCCCTTCGGAATGATCCGAAACCCCTCCCACCACAGCCCCCAGCTCCGGCCAGCCAGGACCAGAATTCTTCCCAGAATACCAGGCTGCAGCCGACCCCGCCCACTCCGGCACCAGCACCCAAGCCTGCTGCACCCCCGCGTCCTCTGGACCGGGACAGTCCTGGTGTAGAAAACAAACTGATCCCTCCTGGGGGCAGCCCCGCCAGCTCCACGCCACTGCCCCCAGATGGTACCGGGCCGAACTCGACACCCAATAACCGAGCGGTGACCCCTGTCTCCCAGGGGAGCAGTAGCTCTTCAGCAGATCCCAAAGCCGCCCCACCTCCACCAGCGTCCAGTGGCGAGCCCCCCGCGCTGGGAGAGAACCCCGATGGCCTGTCTCAGGAGCAGCTGGAGCACCGGGAGCGCTCCTTACAAACGCTCCGAGATATCCAACGGATGCTTTTCCCCGACGAGAAAGAATTCACAGGAGGACAAAGTGGGGGACCCCAGCAGAACACTGGGGTATTAGATGGACCTCAGAAAAAACCAGAAGGGCCGATACAGGCCATGATGGCTCAATCCCAAAGCCTAGGGAAGGGACCTGGGCCCCGGACAGATGTGGGAGCTCCATTTGGCCCTCAAGGACATAGAGATGTGCCCTTTTCTCCGGATGAAATGGTTCCACCTTCCATGAACTCCCAGTCTGGGCCCATGGGACCTGACCACCTGGACCACATGACCCCCGAGCAGATAGCTTGGCTGAAGCTGCAGCAGGAGTTTTACGAGGAGAAAAGGAGGAAGCAGGAGCACGCTGTCGTGCAGCAGTGCTCCCTCCAGGACATGATGGTCCATCAGCATGGGCCTCGGGGCGTGGGCCGAGGGCCTCCCCCTCCATACCAGATGGCCCCCGGTGAAGGCTGGGGGCCGGGGGGCGCAGAGCCCTTTGCTGATGGGATCAGCATGCCTCATTCTCTGCCCCCGAGGGGCATGGCTCCCCACCCCAACATGGCAGGGAGCCAGATGCGCCTCCCTGGGTTTGCGGGAATGATCAACTCTGAAATGGAGGGACCGAACGTCCCCAACCCAGCATCGAGACCGGGTCTTTCTGGAGTCAGTTGGCCAGACGATGTGCCAAAAATCGCAGACGGTCGAAACTTCCCGCCTGGCCAGGGTGTCTTCAGTGGTCCTGGCCGAGGGGAACGCTTCCCAAACCCCCAAGGATTGTCCGAAGAGATGTTTCAACAGCAGCTGGCAGAGAAGCAGCTGGGCCTCCCCCCGGGGATGAGCATGGAAAGCATCAGGCCCAGCATGGAGATGAACAGGCTGATCCCCGGCTCCCAGCGACACATGGAGCCTGGGAGCAGTCCCATTTTCCCTCGAATACCCGTCGAGGGCCCTCTGAGTCCCTCTCGGGGCGACTTTCCGAAAGGAATGCCCCCGCAGATGGGCCCTGGTCGGGAACTGGAGTTTGGGATGGTTCCCGGTGGGATGAAGGGAGATGTCAGTCTGAACGTCAACATGGGATCCAACCCTCAGATGATACCTCAGAAGATGAGAGAGGCTGGGACGGGCCCTGAGGAGATGATGAAGTTACGCCCGGGTGGCACAGACGTGCTGTCTGCTCAGCAGAAGATGGTGCCCCTGCCGTTTGGGGAGCACCCCCAGCAAGAGTACGGCATGGGCCCCAGGCCGTTTCTCCCCATGTCTCAGGGTCCAGGCAGCAACAGTGGCTTGCGGAGTCTCAGAGAACCAGTCGGGCCCGACCAAAGGACTAACAGCCGGCTCAGTCATATGCCAGCACTACCTCTCAACCCTTCCAGTAACCCCACTAGCCTCAACACCGCTCCTCCAGTGCAGCGTGGCCTGGGGCGGAAGCCCTTGGATATATCTGCGGCAGGCAGCCAGGGGCACTCCCCAGGCATCAACCCTCTGAAGTCTCCCACGGTGTGCCAAGTCCAGTCACCAATGCTGGGCTCACCCTCGGGGAACCTCAAGTCCCCCCAGACTCCATCGCAGCTGGCAGGCATGCTGGCGGGCCCGGCTGCTGCTGCGTCCATTAAGTCCCCCCCCGTCTTGGGGTCTGCTGCTGCTTCGCCTGTTCACCTCAAGTCTCCATCACTTCCTGCCCCGTCACCTGGATGGACCTCCTCTCCAAAACCTCCCCTCCAGAGTCCCGGGATCCCTCCAAACCATAAAGCACCCCTCACCATGGCCTCCCCAGCCATGCTGGGCAATGTAGAGTCAGGTCAGTACGCTCGCGTCCTCACGGTCGCCCCTTGTGAGCCAGAGATTGCAAAAGCCTGGTTTATGTCCTTTGAGGAAGCTGGTGTCCTGACTTGATGCAGCTGGTGCCCGGAGACATGTCTCTGAGCTCTGCACTCGGAGGTGGCCTCCACCGAGACGGACGTATCTGTGGCCGGGTGCATCGTCGGTACTTCCACGGGGTTAGGCACAGGCGTCCCATCCTGGCAGAGAAACACGGCTCTCAGGGCAGAGTATGTGTGTCAGATGGGACTGTTAAAAGGAAGAGGAGAAAATGGGAAGTATTTGTCATTTCACAGACAAATTTACATTTGCACGGTGAACATGTTGGTGAAATAAAATGCCTTAACGGTGGGTAAATGTGGCTGCTTTAAATACTAGGCCCGCCCCCTGGAGGGGGCTGCCCTTGCATCCACAGGCTCTGAGTATAATCCTAAGCACAAAGGGGAGGCCGCTGAGAGATTTGAGTGGTTCTCGTAAATACACGTTGGCCACAGAAGCAGTTCCCAAAACCTCTTTGGTAGACTGCTGTTCTCACAGATCAGCCGCAATTTATCAGTATTTTCTTCCCAGGAGAAGCTCTCACTGATGATGGTGGTTTTATGAATGGGACCAGAGGTGGTCCGTGGAAGATGAGCACCGAGGTGTAAATACTAGGTCCGCCTTGTCTCCACTTGAGAAAAACTAGACTCCGAGTAAGATAGAAAACGTATACTACCAAGTTAAAGCGCCCCTCTCCATTGGTTAGCGGGTCATGAAAGCAGGACGGTGGGACAGCCCCCTCAGAACTTTTTTGTTCAAACGCTTTGGTTGTGGAAATTAATCAAGAGCATGTGTAGGGTTGGTGGCTGGGGTCGGATCGCTAGTCTGGCTCCACAGCAGACTAAATACCGGAGTTGAATTTTGAGTTGTGATTGGCAAGGGAAAGACCCGCTTACGTCTTGTTCTTTTCAGTGAAATAGTCTGTAAGCCGTGTTTTTCCCAAGCTTCAAGTTCTGTCTGAGGCATTCTTGGCGTGTTTGTCTTCACGTCTGCTGATTCGTCACCTCCGTATTGCGCTGTGGTCTGCCCTCTGCACACACACAGATCTTGACTAGAAGACTGATGATTCGTGTCCCGGGTCTAATAACACTGTCCTGTTCATCTGTCGCATCCCTGACCTTGCTAGTTCATAATCATAGGCCCGATAGCCTTCAAGAGCAATCTAATTCCCTGCCCATTTTTGTTTTATTTTGCTTTCTTCTAGGTGGCCCCCCACCTCCTACAGCCAGCCAGTCTGCCTCTGTGAATATCCCTGGAAGTCTTCCCTCTAGTACACCTTACACCATGCCTCCCGAGCCAACCCTTTCCCAGAACCCACTGTCTATTATGATGTCTCGAATGTCCAAGTTCGCAATGCCCAGTTCTACCCCTTTATACCACGACGCCATCAAGACTGTGGCCAGCTCCGATGACGACTCCCCTCCAGCTCGCTCTCCCAACTTGCCATCAATGAATAATATGCCAGGTAAGCAATCAGGATGGAAGCTAGGATACGGAGCCCGTGTTAGACCAAAGAGAGACTTCACGCGTGCTTTGTCGACAGCTGCAGACCTCAACGGGCGGAGGTGCAACGAGTTGAGAAAGAATACCGTTGATAGAATTAAAGTGTCTGCACTAGAGGAAGATAGCAATTTTGTATTAGTTTGACTCAGTCCGTGCTTATTGGAAGGCAGATTTCTTGACAGTTCTTAGAAAGAACTTACAGAAGTTCTGATGCTTCTGCGTGCCTGGATGGGTTCATTTTTCCCTTTCTGTGGTGGGGGGGGGGCGAGGGTCAGAGTAGGGAGGGTCCTCCTGGAGCAAGACTGAAAGCAGTTTCCATTTAACATTCTGATTGGATGTCTTTAGTTTTTAAGTGTTTTTCTGGAAGGGCAGCCTCCAGCCACAAGCAGCCACGGGATTTGAGGTGGTGGAAAGCCCCCATTTCCTAGCAAGCACCGTCCTTACCATACTCAGTAGTAATTCCACAGAGGAACCAAATACTTAAATGTCCCAGAGACTATAGTAGAAACTGCATGCTTTCCCTCTCTGTTAAAAGCTATGTTTCTTTAACGTTTCATACACCCTAGGGTGTGAAATGCTCTCTGAGTAAGGCAGTCTAAAAAGATAATGCTAGATGTCATTTGGTAAAGGCCTGTTTGGTTTCCGTGTTATTATTTCTGATTCTTGGACTTGTAGGACTGATTAATCCTCTTTCTCCAAAGAGGACCATACTTACTTCAGACAGATTCTTTTTTTCTGTATGAAATGTCTCCAATGAAGAAGACTACACTGGTTTGCATATTAATTTGTAACTTTTCGCACAGGAGACTTTCTTCCTGGTTGTTTTCTACATACTCTTACGTCATACAGTTTGACACTCAAAATATAACCTCTCGTAGAGCTGTTGGGTGTCTGTGCTCCAAAATGCATTTCGATCTTGTTGAGGGCAGGGATTTCGTGACGTATGTTTTCCCAACAGAGTACCTTGCACATTTGGCTTTTTGTTGTTGCTGATTGGATTTGTTGTAGTTTTTCTAAGTTGCTCTCGGTTAAGGTGATTCCTCTGATATCTTTATTTTTCTAGGGATGGGCATTAATACACAGAATCCTCGAATTTCAGGTCCAAACCCCGTGGTTCCGATGCCAACCCTCAGCCCAATGGGAATGACCCAGCCGCTCTCTCACTCCAATCAGATGCCCTCTCCGAATGCCATGGGACCCAACATACCTCCTCATGGGGTCCCGATGGGGCCTGGCTTGATGTCACACAATCCTATCATGGGGCATGGGTCCCAGGAGCCTCCGATGGTACCTCAAGGACGGATGGGTTTCCCCCAGGGCTTCCCGCCAGTACAGTCTCCTCCACAGCAGGCTCCGTTCCCTCACAACGGCCCCAGTGGGGGGCAGGGCAGCTTCCCAGGAGCTATGGGTTTCCCAGGAGAAGGCCCCCTTGGCCGCCCCAGCACCCTGCCCCAGAGTTCAGCAGATGCAGCACTTTGCAAGCCTGGAGGCCCCGGGGGTCCCGACTCCTTCGCCGTCCTGGGGAACAGCATGCCTTCGGTGTTTACAGACCCAGACCTGCAGGAGGTCATCCGACCTGGAGCCACCGGAATCCCGGAGTTTGATCTGTCTCGCATTATTCCATCTGAGAAGCCTAGCCAGACACTGCAATATTTCCCTCGAGGGGAAGTCCCAGGCCGTAAACAGCCCCAGGGGCCTGGGCCTGGGTTTTCGCACATGCAGGGGATGATGGGCGAACAGGCCCCCAGAATGGGACTAGCATTACCTGGCATGGGAGGGCCAGGGCCAGTGGGAACTCCGGACATCCCTCTTGGCACGGCTCCATCCATGCCAGGCCACAACCCAATGAGACCACCAGCCTTTCTCCAGCAAGGCATGATGGGACCTCACCATCGGATGATGTCACCAGCACAATCTACAATGCCCGGCCAGCCTACCCTGATGAGCAATCCGGCTGCCGCTGTGGGCATGATTCCCGGCAAGGATCGGGGGCCTGCTGGGCTCTACACCCACCCTGGGCCCGTGGGCTCCCCAGGCATGATGATGTCCATGCAGGGCATGATGGGACCCCAACAGAACATCATGATCCCCCCACAGATGAGGCCCCGGGGCATGGCCGCTGACGTGGGCATGGGTGGATTCAGCCAAGGACCTAGCAACCCAGGAAACATGATGTTTTAAGCTGCTAAGATTGGATGTGCCGATCCTTGTCAAGATGAGATTCCGGGTCCTGAGAGCTGCCTTGAGGGAGTTCCGGGAGTGCTGTTGGTCAGGCAATAGGAGAGCAGAGACCCGAGGGCTGCTTTGGGGGAGGGGGGAACTCGAGAATGTATGGATTTACCTGAAAACAAATGATTCATTTAATCAACAGGTGTGTTTTTTTTAAGATTTATTTTTTAAAAATTATTTTTGTGGACTTGGGTATCCCATGATGGCACCTACTTTTGGGAATCTGTAGCCTGTGCTTCGAGAATTGCCATCGGTCATGTGTTGCACCGTTCTCTGTATGTTTACGTCCTTTGGACTGGCTTCTCCCAGGATTCTTTTCTGGTTTTGTTTTTGTTTTTTTGTTTTGTTTCGTTTTTTTGTTTTTGTTTGTTTTTTTATTTGCTTTGGGCTTTATTTTTTTGTGTACTGTACTATATTGTAAAAGGGATTTTAGCAGAGACTTTAGTCTTTGGGACAAGAGGAGAACAGGAATGCTGGGCCGTTTACTTTGGGTGGAGAATCCGTCTTCAGACCTTTGGACTATTTTCTTTCAACTCCAGTGTATAGAAAAAAACCAAACTACGACCTCAGAGCAGAGTATTAATGAAAAGCACAAAAAAAAGGAACTAAGTTCAGCGAGGGGTGGGGGGAGGGGGGAGATTTTTCTTTTCAAAAATAATGAAGCTTAGGACGTTTGTTTTTCGGTTCGAGTGCTCTCCGGCACGGTCTGTCTCTTCCAGTCTGCAAACCCACCTTCACGGTTTTTCTCTCAGTTTCCCTCTCCTCCCCGCCCCCCACCCTGCCCTCATCTCCTTGGTTAAGTGTATCTCCTTCTCCCGTGCCCCCGCCCCCAACTGGTGACCCCTGCTTTCCTCCTCTTTCCCTTTGGCAGCTGCAATACACGGTGTTCTTTTGGGGAAGTAAATCTAATGAAAGCCTCGCCTTCCAGGCCGAGCGCCGTCCCGGCTCCGCGAGGGAAAGGCCTGTGCTTGGGATGCTCGGCGGTCTTCTGCCCCCTTTCTCTTCTTCCCCGACACGCCCTTCCCTGCCCACCTTGTTTTCTGTTCTCCTTTTCTTAGGAATTCCCAAGTGAATTTTATCAATGTGGGAGTGGAACAGATGCTAAAAGCTATCCAGGATTTCGTTTTTGTTTTGGTTTTTAATTTTGTGGTTCCTCCCCTGCCCTCCCCCTCCCATGCGTAAAACGTTCTGTGTAACCTCCATTAAATTTGGTACAAAACCACTCACCAGAGCTGTGGTGTCAGAAAAATAAAATATATTGTTTCTTACAAAATCCAGTTGCCTTTTTTGTTCATTTGGGTTCCTGTGCTGTTCGGTATGGGGCATGGTGGCTGCCAAGTGGCCCAGAGGCTTCCACCTTGTAGGGAGTTGGCTGATGAGGGAAGGAAGGCTAGCAAAGTCTACAGCGGCCCAGGTGAAGCCTCTTCCCTGTGGACGAGGCGGAATGAGGAATAAGCCCCCGAGGATTTATGCCGGACTGGGTCCTGTCCTAGTCGTGAAAGCCAGGCTGTTGGCAGAAGAGCAACCCCCGTCCCCAGTGCTGCAATTCACCTCTTTACCAGAATGGTCTTTCCCAGGAATTTCTGTGAGAGTCAGTTTAATGGCGTGAAGTAATTAAGGCTGAAGGTAGATTTGCAGTCATTTGCATAAGCTGTGAAATGTCCCTGGATCTTGTTAAGGCAACGCATTCCTGCTGTCCCTGCAAATCGCGGCTCTCCACAGTCCGTGGGTTTCCGCTGTCCCTTCTGGCTCCCCTCCTCGCTGCCTGCTCGTCGGCGTCTTCCCCTCCCCCGGCCCTGCTCAGGCTGTGCTGGGTTCGATCCCCCAGCGCAGCAGCGTGCACCCTGCAAGGTACACGTCTGAGGGACTGGCTGTTTTTCTGTGCTTTTGGATTTGTTCCGGCGTGTGGATTTCTTTAGGTCCTAGGCGTTTTTAGCGGAGCGAGTGGGCGTCTGTGTGCGTGTTCGTTCACAGGTGAGAGAAGAAGTGAGGAGCTGCAGGTGCGGAGTCAGCTGCAGACAAACTTGGACAAATTGGGCTCTGCTGGCGTTCTACAGTCCGGAGTTTTTCCTGTGACCGTTTCTGTCTCCGGGAAGGGTGTTTGAGAGCCGTTTTTCTCTCCCACCGTCGGCAGCCCTGTTTTCTCAGTAACACTGGAGCCCCAGACAACAAACGTGAGAGCACCTCCCCCACGGTCCCCTCCATGTGTGTTCTCGTGCAGATCTTTGAGGGGCCTACGAAGTAGGTGGTACTCATCTCCTTTGCAGATGAGAAAGCTGAGCTCAAGTTTAAGGATTCTGGCACAATCAGATCTATTCAGATGGTTCTGCGTGGTGAAAAGTTTATGCTAGGGGAGCAAAAATGAGGGTTTTGTTTCATGAACTTAGCCATATTCCTAGGTCCTCTGGCTTTGAAGCATAGAGAGGAGAGCAGGGAACAGCGAAGCATGGGGAACGTGAGAGGAGAGCCCTAAGGAAGGCTGGGACCTGGCATTTGCCCACTGGACTGGCTTCTTGGGCAGCCCCACTGCCTGCTGCACCTGATGGTGCTGTGCTCACTGATAGTGCGTGGTCCCTTGCTACTGTCCCTAAGAGAGAGCCACGGGAGGGCAAGAGCGGGGTGGCCCCTGCTGGGAGGCGCTGGGAATGTGGCACTGCTCGCGCCGCCCCCTGCTGGACGAGTGCGGCAGTGCAGATGAGCTGCCCGCTGCAGAGCCGCGCAGTTTTGAAAAGCCCCCTTCATAAATCTTCATTCATTTACACTGTCAGCAGATACCAACAACATTTCATCAAGATGATATCTGATAAACTAAGTTCATTTGGGTTTGAACAGAACAATTTCTAATTTACTAAGAATGCTGTGAAATAAAATCACATTTGAGGGACTGGATGCTGTTGCACAGAGAACTAATTTTTAAAAATTAGCAAAAGGTTGATAAAGTTATTTCATGTTAACATAATCCTGTGAAAGCCCAGCCCGTCTCCCCGCAATTTCAGGACTAAATGGAGGAAGTGCAATAATGATGGGTTACTTCATTTCAGGGGGTAAGTGGTGGGGTGTGGATCATAGCATTGTTTATTAAGGACTAACAGAGTGTGGTGTTTTTTTCCCTAAAACAATGTGAAATAAAATAAGCTTTTTAAAAGGATCTGCACTTATAAATGAAAATAAACCACTGTGGGGGTCTTGTGAAGGGCGAGGCATGAGAAAATAGAAATTTTAAAACAAATTTGCAGATTTTAAAGCTACTTTTTTTTTTAAATTTTTTTTTTCAACGTTTATTTATTTTTGGGACAGAGAGAGACAGAGCATGAACGGGGGAGGGGCAGAGAGAGAGGGAGACACAGAATCGGAAACAGGCTCCAGGCTCTGAGCCATCAGCCCAGAGCCCGACGCGGGGCTCGAACTCACGGACCGCGAGATCGTGACCTGGCTGAAGTCGGACGCTCAACCGACTGCGCCACCCAGGCGCCCCAAAGCTACTTTTTAAAAAAATTCATCCAAAATTTCTCCCAGACTCCCTACTCCCCTGCTGTCACCAGGGCCAGCTTTCATGGGTGGGCAACCTGTGCAGCTGCCCAGGGCTGGGGCTTGGTCTGCTGTCACCTTTTGAAATTCTCAATAATCGTTGGATAGGGGACCCCACAGTGCCATTCTGCACTGGGCCCCACAGATGGTGTAGCCAGTCCTGACTGTTGTAAACTGGACAATCACAGCAGCTCCATAGCGGCGCTGGGCTCTTGGCCTCAGTCCTTCCTCCTCCCCAGTGGCACGGGTACCCCAGGCAGGGTGGTGGTGGTGTTCCGTTTGAACAGTCTACACTTTAGTCATTTCCTTTTCTGAGTACTTTCAAAGTGCTGCGAGGATGGGGAAGCTGTATTTAACACAAGGACTCATTGCCTTAGCAACCACCATCTAGAGAGCACCTATGGTGTGTCCAGAACCGTGCTGAGGCTGGGACGAGGGAACAGGTGCAGAAATTGATCATTACAGTACATACGGTCAATACCGTGGTGAAGGTACAGGGTGCAACAGGCCAGAGGGGAAGGGGATTTTTCCTGGTGGAAGGTGGTGGTGGACCTTTCAACAGGCCTGCCTGTTGAAATTGGATGGGCGCTACAGAGGAGGTGGAGGTAAGAAATGAGCAGAGGGAGAGAGGTCACAGAGAGCCGGGTGGGGCCCATCGAGGGGCCCAAACTTCAACGTTTGAGCAAGGGACGCAGGTGATCAGCTTGGCCCTTCAGGAGTGTGCTGTGGTGTGGGAGTCAGGCTGGGGGTGGGGTGGGGTGGGAGAACACAGGAAGGTCACTTACAAAGACTTGCTTATTCTGCAAAATCCGTAAGTGCACAGACTCATCTCTTTTGCTTTAAAAAACATTAGATTGAACTGTATCTTCGGTGCTTGTTTAAAGAACTTAAGCCTTACTGCTGCTTTCTTTTCTCTCACCTAGACCAGTCATTGTTTTTCAGAGCCACAAACCCTTGTCTCTAAGAACAGTCATGGCATCTCAGTTCGGTGGTAAAATTCGAACGATACATCTAAAGCAAACAGTTTGCAAAGCAGAAAGACCAGTTTGTGGCCAACTGGTATATTTTATACTGGAGGGAGTTAAATAGTAAACGAGGTTAAAAAGAAGGTATGCTATGGGGACTGTAGGAATAAAAATGGTCTTGCTCTTTAACGTGGCTCTTTATCTGGGTTACTGTAATAGACTCCATCTGTTTTCTGCCTGTAGGTGACCACACTTCAACTGTTAACTTTCTGGTTCAGTGCTTAGTTGTGTTTGGCAACCAATACTGCTAGAGAAAGAAGGTGAGTATATGATCACAGACACGGTAGATAAAGACAAGGTGCTCGGTGCTAACCACCCTCTTCCTTTCTCCAGCAGCGTCTGGAGCTAGAGTTGAGGGCAGAAAGAACTTACAAATCTTCATGGTATTCAGTGTCTAAT